ACTAAACTTAAAAAAATTATTGTTAAACATTTTATATTTTAAGACATAAAACCATCACTTAGAAATGGGCAAAACCAAACACACTGGCTATAACTGCTATCAGTCTCATTATTATTATTATTAAATAACTCTGGTTGAGAAAGAAATGTTATTCTCTTCCAATTGTTTGGATAATGAGTTCATTTTGATATAATTTTGTGGGTCCGAAGCTGAAAGGTTTGGAAACCTCTGAATAAAAATGACACATCCAACATGTTTATTTAAAAACAAACAGGACATTTTTTTAAATTCCCTTTAAGTTTAATAAAATCTCTTTACCTCTTTGAGGTAAAGAGATTTAACAACATAAAATTTTACAAAATAATTTAAATTTCTGTTTTGTGGAAGTATATCCTTTCAAGTAGTGGTAGCAAAATATTTTTTTTGCATACATACAAAAAGTATGGATTATGTCTGATAAAAAATTAAAATTTAACAAAAGAATAAAAAATTTTTTTTTTTTAGATTGGAAAGCCTCTCTAGAAGCGACCCAAATCAAGCCGTTTAACCCCTGATATATGATCACTTCGCCCTTCCTGTTGTGCTGAATACTTGATTTAAATGGCTTCAAATGATTTGTTGTCCTGCTGCTCCAGCCAACTGGGAGATAGTGTGGTCCTTGTGATGAGTGTAAAGATTCCTTTCTGCTTGCTTCAGACTGCATAATGCAGTCAGTTTAGTCATCAGAGGGCAAACGCTTGTTCTGCTTCGCTTGGCCAAACGGTCCGGGTGCAGCTGGAGTTTCACAATTTTTACTTTCACAGCAGTTTTGGGTTGAAGATGTGATGGAACGTAATCGGTTTTAGGAGATTATATACAGCAATAACAGACATTTAAATGAAAGCTTGTTTTAATTAGCATCCCATTTATTTTGAACCATGCTTGTTTGCTGGGTCTCTAGGACTTCACTCCGGGAAAATATCCTTTGACGAAACTCTTAGAAACAGACCTTCTGCTATTTTAGTAAACAACTATATTCTATCCATATAGTTTTTTAAAAAGTAGTTAATGGGTAACCTTTTATATTCAAAAAAATGGTGGTGCAATGCAACATAAAATTCCTCATGCTTCATTGTTACATCGCTTTGATGCGACTGAACACTTGTCATCATTTATTTCTAGTTTGACAGTCAGTTGGTCTGGAGTTTTATTTAAGAATATTTAATGATTGAAAAATGATTTGTATTTGAAAAAGTTTGTGTTTTAGATAACATCTTTGGGACTCATGTTTTATGAAAGGTGTCTGTTTCCCAGTAAAAGCATATGAACAGTCATGTAAGTACACCATATTTGATGGTGTGAGAACCTTCTCTTGTTGCAAGAAAAGTGTTAATTTTTAGTTCTATGAACTATGAGGCAGGGTTTTTTTTAAACAAAGCTTTCATTTTGTAAAACAAGCTGATAGATTGGTTCTTAAAGAGAGTAACCACTGATTGAGGAGGAAGGCTGTTGACTAAGCGGAGCAGGGGAGGAGGCGCAGAATAAGCTGAGCTGCTAGAAACACAAACACCCCTTTAATAACAGGATATATTTACAGGTGCAAGTATGCTGCTTTGCTTGTGTTTCTTGGCATTTTCTCTATAGTGCTGTCTCTGATTCAGCTGAAAGTACCAACCATACTGTGTCTAACATCCTCCCATCCAGCATCCTTTTGACTGCTGCCAAAAAGCGATGGATCTGCTGCAAAACCTAAAACCTGCTGAGGCAGTAATTGGATGTGCACTGATCCAAGCTGTCGTAGTTTTCTAATATCAGGTTTAATTGGTGAGTGCCTAATTGTTATGTTTTATCGATTCATAAAATCACCTAAATTGACTTTTGGTCTTTAAACACTTCACTTAGAATGCACATTTCAATTTTTAACTCAATAAAATCAGACAGATAATCATTTTACTTAATTTTGAATAACCTTGTTAATTCTGAAAATTACTACTTCTGTAGAATATATATTTCTTTCCTTCCGTGATGTATTTTAAGCATGAGTCAAAGTCAAGGCCCGTGGGCCTAATCTGGCCTGTTGCAGCAATTTATCTGGTCCTTAAACGGCAAAGAAAGGATATCATTTCATGAAGTGTTCAAAGTGGCTAAACTGCAAAATAAATCAGAGTGAATTTGTAAAACCATAGCAGTGTGTTTTTTGCAGATAATATGCTAAATTTAAAGCAACACTGCATAACTTTTGAACCAGGTATTAGCTTAATTTGAGCCCTTGGTGAATGTTGATGCTCTGTGTGAGAATAAAGTCGTAAGATTACAATAATAAAATATAATACTACGAAAAGAAAGTCATCATACCACAACCCATTTCAGAAAGAAAGCTTCTAGCTCCGACCAGCATATGATGGCGGACCAGCACCACCAAACGGCAACCTGAGTCCACTTTGACATATTGCCCAATTTGATGCTGGTGTGCTAAAAGATTTCCTTATTGTCAAACCGATGCCAAAGTATAACTTCCCATGATGCTCGACATTCCTCATTTTAGGGAAGAAAGTGCTTCTTGTAAGAACTTTATTCTTGTAATTTTATGACTTTATTCTTGTCATATTGCGACTTTATTCATGTAATGTTACGACTTTATTCTCATAATTTTACAACTGTATTCTCATAATGCTACGACTTTATTCTCATAGTCTTACGACTTTATTCTCATAGTCTTACGACTTTATTCTCATAATGCTAAGACTTTATTCTCATAGTGTTACGACTTTATTCTCATAATGTTACGACTTTATTCTCATTGTGTTATGACTTTATTCTTATAATGTTACGACTTTATTCACGTAATGTTACAACTTTTTTCTCGTAATGTTTCAACTTTATTCTCATAATGTTAGGACTTTATTCTCATTGTGTTATGACTTTATTCTTGTAATGTTACGACTTTACGTAATGTTTCGACTTTATTCTCATAATGTTACGACTTTATTCTCATTGTGTTATGACTTTATTCTTGTAATGTTACGACTTTATTCACATAATGTTACAACTTTTTTCTTGTAATGTTTCGACTTTATTCTCGTAATGTTTCGACTTTATTCTCATAATGTTTCGACTTTATTCTCGTAATGTTTCGACTTTATTCTCATAATGTTACGACTTTATTCTCATTGTGTTATGACTATTCTTGTAATGTTACGACTTTATTTACGTAATGTTTCGACTTTATTCTCATAATGTTACGACTTTATTTTCAAAATGTTTCGACTTTATTCTCGTAATGTTTCGACTTTATTTTCAAAATGTTTCGACTTTATTCTCGTAATGTTTCGACTTT